ACATAAATATAAATTATATATATATATCTATAAATTAATTAAACCAAAATCTAATTAAATTGTTTAATAATATATATATATATAATATAAGTTTAATATATATAAATCAAATTGCTTTGAAATATATATATATATATATATATAACATACAATATATAATGTTATGTGATATTAAATCTCAAATGAAAATAAAAATCTAATAATATAATATTTTTTCGGACTAAATGGGCGGGCCGGGCGGGTTTCGGACCGGACTCGATTCGACCTTAACTTTTTCTGGACCGGACCGGTCCGCCATTTATTTACCGGATCTATATTATTAGGCCCAAACCCTTAATTTTTCGGGCGAGTTTCGGGCCGGACTTCGGGTTTCGGGTTCTATTGACACCCCTAGTTATATCAATAATATTTTTTTTACCTTGATGTTATAAATAAAGATATTATATGAAGGTAAAAAAGAATTAACGTGTTAGAGTTAACCAAATTTAAGATTTTTTTATGAGAACTAATTAGAATTATATTAACTAATTAAATAATTCTTTTGATCACATAAATTTTCACAATGCTTATTTACTTTTCAAAATTACTTTGTATTTCGAATTAAAAAAATACATTGTTACCCATAAGTTTTTTATCAGCAACAATGGACAAGAAAGCCTCTAGTTTTTTTTTTTTTTTTTTTTTTTTTGGGCTCCAGGTTTTCGAAATTTTGGTTCAGTAGTAAAAAAAATACAATCTGGTTTTATTAATATACCTAATCTGTACCTACGAATACAATACCATATCGAATTTGCATACGGAAAACACCAAATATGTATATAGTACATATTGTATTCGATTAACACGACATTTTCCGTCGAATATATACGATATACAATCTTCTCAACAATAAAATTTGCATATAACACATATATAGGAGCTTTTTCATCTCCTTTTATTCAACCACTAAAATCTCGAAAATGAAATATCATCCCACGAATGGTTGATTACATACTTTAACTACTTTTATTCAAATTTTTATGCGTTACAAACATAAATTACGTAACAACACTTTTGCATGGAGATCCTATCCATAATCCATGCACGTACGTTCCCTCAGTCACCGCCGCCGCCACGGCCGTATCCTCCGCCGCGTCCCCCACCTTCCCCTCCGCCGTTGCCAGACCCACCACCTCTTCCGTACCCTTCCCCGTGTCCATACCCTTCTCCACCGCCCGACCCGGACTGTCTTCCTGAACCCGACCCAGCTCTTGAACCGGCGTAGGAACCGGCTTCGGATCCTGCCTCCGACCCACCACCACCACCAGAACTCGACGAGGAGCTACTGGAGCTAGACGAGGAGGATGAGCTTGACCCGGATCCGGAACCCGACCCTGCTCCGGCTCCGGACCCAGATCCGCCACCGCCGAGTCCAATCCCGATACCTGCACCGATTCCTATTCCACCGAGGTCGAGGCCCAAGTCTTTTCTGGCGACCCGGCTCTCGGATATTAGGGCTGACGTGGCTAAGAGTAGAGTGATCAGAAGTAGTGACAAAGAGTTAAATGAAGACATGGTTGTGCTTGTTTTTGTACGTTGCTTGTATGTTCGAACTCTGAATGGAATGAAGTAGAAGGAAGAATGGGGTATTTATAGGCGTTGAAGGGGAAATGATTGTGATGAAACTGGATAGAACATACTTTAGAATGTTGGATACAAGTCGAAGTCAAAAGTGATGTATGATATAAAAATGCGCATGCGTATGATAATGGGTTAAAATAATTGTTATTAATTATTCCATCACCAAACTTGGAAATAACCATGAAATGATAAAAGCTTTGTGCAAACAGGAATGTGGCACTGGCATACTATGACTGAGAGAGAGAGAGAGAGAGAGAGAGGGATGACCGACCCACGAAAGATCCACTAAAGAAGAAGAAGATAGTGGAGGATAGGAGGCACCATGCACCAAGGCCTGGCCCCTGCGCAATAAACGTTGGGACTCCACGCGGCAATTTTACATCGACTATTCGTCCATGGACTCCATTATATCGTCAATCTCCACGTGTCACCTCCTCAATTTTCATGAGATTTGGACCGTCATGTGCTGCTAACAATGCTCGAAAATAATATTTATCCCGGATTTAGTTTGCACGCTGCGGAAGATCAATGATTCAGTGTGACCACACCACCACCAAACCGTTTTCTTCAACTTTAAGCCATTTATGATAGTTGCTCATCTATCTATTTACAAGATTATGTTCTATTAAACCTGACATTAAACATACTCAAAAACTGCAAAAAATTATTTACCCATGTAAGAAAGAAATTACCATTGGAACCGAAAATATTTGGGCTTTTTAAGGCTGGGAAATATAGTGCATGATGTTGGGCTTAAATATATATATATTGGGCCGAAAGACTTCCGCGTTGGCCGATTTCAATGACCCATGGTCTCATATCAATGGAATGAAATTGAACCAAAATTAAATCCAACTAAAATCTTTAGTATTTTTTTTTTCTTGAAAATTGTTGTAGATGTTTTTCTAAACAAATTTTGTACAGTTATTTTTTAACGTATGTAGAAAAAACGATCAAAATTATACCCACATACACTCGAATCTAAATAAAAAAAATTTAAAAATCTTAGAATAAATCATTGAGTAATTGTTTTTAAATTTTAAAAACTCAAAAAATTGGCAATTAAATTTTTTTTAATTTGATTTTATTAAAAACCAGAAAAACTATTATATGGAAAAAAATCAACTAAAAATTAAAACTACATTTTTTATTTATAAATCTGTAAAACCCAATAACCAAAAAATAAAAACTAAAATGTAAAAATAAAAAACTAAATTCAAAAACTCAAAATAAAAAAACCATCCATCTAATTTCTCGTCGTTTATTTTAGGGAAACAATTTTGGGCCAAAAAGCCCAATATACAAATTGGGGAAAAAAAGCAAAAAGAAGAAAAAGAATAATATTGTATCGACAAATGGAAACACAGTTTCCGAAAAGGAAAAAAAGTAAAATCCGGAGGAAAATGATGAGGAGCGTGAATCGAGTGTTGTTCTGCAGATCATCGTCTTTCGTTCTCCTCGTCCCGTCCCTCGCTCGCTCTCAGCTCCGATTCAGCTTCTCCGCCGCCGGATCTCCAGCTCTTCCTAATCGGACGATCCACCGCATGGCCGCTGGGGCTTCTCACTCCTCCTCGTCGTCTCTCTCCGGCGGCGACGACGGCGCCGTTCCACGTACCTCCGGTAATGACGCGGCGACTCACTCTTCTGCGGCTGCCTCGGCTATCGATTTCCTCACGCTTTGTACTCGTCTCAAGGTAGTTTAGCTGAGAAAGATCCGATTCGTATGTCGCCGCATTGTGTTTTGCCGTTATCTCGCGTTCGTTTTTAGCTCTGGTGGTGTTTGGTTGGCGAGAAAGTGTGGGGGAAAGATAATACGGATGCATAAAAGTATTTATTGTACTGTGGAAAGCATGAAATAGTAGTTCCTTTCCTAGTGGATGTTTAAGCTAATTTATCTTTATGTAGAGAGATTCATACTCTCACTTGCGATTTTATAAACAGTAAATTATCGTGCATTCGTTCCGAATTTCGAAATAGTTTTGTCGTTGTCTATGGAACCTTAGATGCAAATGCTTTGCAGCGTTGAGAACTGTCTGAGCCTTCTAGCGTTCTTGGTCTTGGACCACTTTGTCGGGTATAGTTTGGTAGGAAATTGGAATTGATTGGGTTCAAATCTTCTGGGGTTTGATAGCTTGATTCCTGATTTCATATAGTGCTTTTAGCCGTGAACTTCGTGACCTTTGATCTCGTTTCTTAGTTTATATCAGTTTGTATGAACATGAATGGTTTCGATTCATGGTGCATCTTTTCGTCCGTGGCATTGTATGATAATCAAACTTTATGTTTAAATCAGATGACGAAAAGAGCTGGATGGGTTAAGAGAAATGTGAAAGATGCAGAATCAATAGCTGATCACATGTACCGGATGGGATTGATGGCTCTGATCTCTTCAGATATACCCAGTGTGGACAGAGACAAGTAAGACTTTTGGTTGCTTGTCTATTTCATCCATGATTTTCATTCCTAACCATTAGTGATTCATATCAACAGTGCAAATATGTTTTCCCTGTATTTTCAGGTGCATAAAAATGGCAATTGTTCATGACATTGCAGAAGGTGCCTTAATCTTTTCATTTTCAAACCTTTTTTTGTTCTAGAGAGTATATTATCGGCATCCTTTCTCATCGATATGTTGACATTGTTATTGTATCACATGAATTGGTTGAGTAGCCATTGTTGGGGACATAACCCCTTCTGATGGGATCGCGAAGGAAGAGAAAAGTCGAAGAGAAAGGGAAGCACTTGAACACATGTGCCAACTCTTGGGTGGAGGACCAAGAGGTACTTACTCTCTTCCATATACCTTTCAATACTATATTCCGCTGATCATTTTATACCGTTTGCGATTATTTAGTTCAGTGAATGACAGTGAAAGCGTATTTGTTAAAAATGCAGCCAAGGAAATTGCTGAACTATGGGCAGAATACGAAGAAAACTCCTCACCAGAAGCCAAAGTTGTTAAAGATTTCGACAAGGTATACCCCCCCCCCCTCTCGCTTGCTACTCAATAGCAGTGTGCATATTGATTGGAAAAGTTCATTGAAGCTGTCTACATACAACACTGCCGTGTTCCCTGCAGGTTGAAATGATACTACAAGCCTTGGAATATGAAAACGGTAAAGCTCTCTTCAAGGGACTTTTGTTTGAATCCCGTTAGCAAATTCTCTCGGGGGTGGTTCCTGAAAACTGATTTCGCCGTTTGTGCAGAGCAAGGGAAGGATCTAGAAGAATTTTTCCAGTCGACCGCCGGTATGACATTCGCTCCATACATAGTAGAATAGAAGAATTAGCATATTTTATACATCACCAAACGTTATGGAACGGAGAGTGGAAGGGCTAAGATTATGGATGGTTGATGATGCAGGGAAGTTTCAGACGGAGATAGGGAAAGCTTGGGCGTTGGAGATAGCTTCAAGGAGAAGAAGTAAACACTGATCTAATTGGCACCAAAAAGGGTACAAAAATAAATAAGATTTGCTTTGGCGAGGTTTTCATTGTTCTTCAAGAATCGATCCATGGCTCTGGTCGGTTAATAACGTTTTCCTGGTCCCAACATCTCAAGTATGCACTTCAACTCCATTACATTTGTCTGGTGGTGGAATCGCTTCTTTCCCTTTTAATTTTGATGACTATATAAGCAAATGTATTTAATGTCCTAATCAACAGCCAGTTCTTAGGCCAACCCAAATGATCCTTCTTCACATTTCATATGTGCTTATGGTTACGGTAATGCAAAATTGATCCCCATGTGTCCGAATTGAATTTTATATAAATTGAAAAAAAAAGAGTATCTTTTTATAACTAAAACGCTTAAATCCAAAAATAAACTTGTTTATTCCTGCTATCTTATGCTAAAAGAGATCTTAAGAAATTTATGGATAAATTTTTACGTAAAGAAATTTGAATTTCTGGAATCAAGGAAACTAAGTTTAATGTGATACGTAAAAAGACAAGTTTAGTTATCTTTTCGATAATAGTTTTTTTTAAAATTAATTTCGATTTTTTTTATGGAAAAATGACATTTTTCTACACCAACTTTGCAAAATGTGACATTTTCCTACACGAATTTTTAATTTGACAAAAAACTACACCAAATTATCAAATGTGCCAAATTGATACACGAACAACCCAATTTAACTGCAATTTCCTACACAATCCGAAAACGGTGTTAAGTGTCCGTTAACCGCTGATGTGGTACGCCACGTGGCGGCTGACGTGGCACGCCACATAGATTTTTTTGCCACATCAGCATGCCACGTCATATTTTTAAAAAAAAATTCCGGAAAAATATGAAAAAAAATCGATTTACATATACATACAAACAAATATATTTATATATACATATACATATATAAACACATATATATGTATATATACATATGCATATACATACATACATACATACATACAAAATAAAAAAAAATCACATATATATATATATTCATATCCACATGCAAATACAAATATAAACATAAATACTTCTATGTATATATATTTCTATATATATCAAATAAAAATATACACATATATACATGTATTTATACAAATATATATGCATATACATACATACAAGTATATTTATATATATACACATACATATATAAATACATATACATGTATATATATGTATTTATATCTATGTACAAATACAAATATAAACATATATACTCCTATATATATATATACTTGTATATTTTTTTATTTTGTATGTATGTATATATTTATATATATGTATGTGTATATGTGTATATATAATAAATATGTATTCATATACATGTATATGTATTTATATATATATATGTATGTGTGTATATATAAATATATTTGTATGTATGTATATGCATATATATTTGTATAAATGCATGTATATATGTGTATATTTTTATTTGATATATATAGAAATATATATACATAGAAGTATTTATGTTTATATTTGTTTGTATGTATATGTATATATATTTGTATAGATGTTTGTATATATATGTGTATGTTTTTTATTTTGTATATATATAGTTATATATTTTTATATAAGAGTATATATATTTATATTTTTATTTGTATATAGATATGAATATATATATATATATTGCTATTTATTTATTTTATTTTAAATTTAAAAAAAAAATCGATTTTTTTCATATTTTTCGGAATTTTTTTAAAAATATGATGTGGCATACTGATGTGGCAAAAAAATCTATGTGGCGTGCCACGTCAGCCGCCACGTGGCATGCCATGTCAGCGGTTAACAGACACTTAACACCGTTTTCGGATTGTGTAGGAAATTACAGTTAAATCGGATAGTTCATGTATCAATTTGACATATTTGATAATTTGGTGTAGTTTTTTGTCAAATTAAAAATCTGTGCAGGAAAAGGTCACATTTTGCAAAGTTGGTGTAGGAAAATATTGCAAAATGTCATTTTCCCTTTTTTTATTTGAAATGTTTAGGGCAGACACCAACTTTTTTTTTTTGGTTCGTTACAAGTCTAGTGAGATTTTTCATTCCCAAGCAGTGCATATTGAAAACAGGCCTATTAAGCCCATTTTGTTTTCTTGGGCTTTTTTGAGCCCAAAATGTTCCAATAATCTGTGAAGTTTGGTTCCTCCTTTCACAGAGCAAAAAACCCTAACCGCCTTCCATCCATTTTATCCCCTCCGTCAGATGACGTCAGCGATACCATGGTCACTCCTAAAAAGTAAGAACTCGGGAAAAACAGGGCATACGTACATACTCTGTAATGACGAGCTGAGTTTTGTTCCTCGATCATGTCTTCTCTTCGCCGGATTCTTCTTCTCGCACCTTCCATCTCTGTAATCTTCTCTTTCTCTCTCCACAATATATGTAACTGCGTGTACTCTGTTCTCTCTGCTTTTGATTGATGATGTGGTTCGTTGTGATTGCAGAGAGGAAGGTTTTCTGCTTCTGGATCCGGAAATGGTGAGTTCTCCGGTTATATGACCTGGCCTTAGCTTTACACTTTTTACCAATGGGGGATTGAGGTGGTTTAGTCACTGTAATTAGGTTTACTACCAAGTTTGCGAGGCTACTGTTCCGTCGCTTCGGCGGATACGGCGTCGAATCTGGTTGAGAATTGTGCCATTTCCGCACCTGATGATTTCGCGGTCGACGATGCGATCTCGAGGATTCGAGACGAATTCGAAATGGCGAGAGAAAGGTTTCTCAAGATCCCTGACACACTCAAAGGAATGCCCAAAATGAACCCTCAAGGTCTCCGTATATACATATGTCTGTGTATTGGTCATATGCTCTTTTGTTAATTAATGAACTGCTTTGTTTTTTGGTTGATTGTAGGGATTTACGTTAATAAGAATCTCAGGTTGGATAACATACAGGTTTATGGATTTGACTATGACTACACATTGGCTCATTACTCTTCCAACCTGCAGAGTTTGATATATGATCTCGCGAAACAGCATATGGTTAACGAGGTGGTCTTCAGAGTGTTGTGTTTTTTTTTTTTGTGGATTTGGCTTGTGTTGTGTTGTGTTGTGTTGTGTTTGGTCTGCTGCTTGAGAATCTGTGTTCCTCTGTTCTTGCAGTTTAGGTATCCTGAGATTTGTATGCAATTCAAGTACGATCCAACTTTCCCCATCCGAGGGTTGTATTACGATAGGCAAAAGGGATGCCTCATGAAATTGGATTTCTTTGGTTCGATTGAGCCTGATGGGTGTTATTTTGGTCGTCGTAAGGTACTCTTAAACGTATTCATCTTTTTTTTTTCTGTTTTTCTTTGTCTAACTGTTGAACTTGGGAATGAGGCCATGTTGTTGTTGTTGTTGTCTAACTGTTGAACCGAGATGGAGGTTTGAATGAATCCTTCAGCGGGAAAATTTTCTTGCTTTAACATGTCCCTCCATGGTGCAGCTTAGTAGGAAGGAAATAGAAGACATGTACGGTACACGGCATATAGGTCGTGATCAAGCCAGAGGCCTGGTGGGGTTGATGGATTTCTTTTGCTTTAGTGAGGTCGGTCTGATAAACAAAATACCTTTTGATGCAAATCCCATCATGTGATTGACAATCATTTTTTAGCTCTATCTGAATATTCATTTTTATTGTTATTAGGCATGTCTTCTTGCAGACATGGTCCAATACTTTGTCGATGCCAAGCTGGAGTTCGATGCCTCTTACATATACAATGATGTAAATCGTGCAATTCAGCATGTCCATAGAAGTGGATTGGCCCATAGAGGAATCCTCTCCGATCCTCATAGATATTTGGTTAAGAATGTAAGTTCTCGACTTTGTTTGCTTATGATTTATACCTTTTTCTTATCCCATTGATTCAGTTTCTGACAGCTCAGATGATATGTTCTAGATTGCAGAGTTTGAAAATACCTCTTTCTTGTTTTGGGAACATACTGTTACAGGGTCAGCTACTACGTTTCCTGAGAATGCTAAAGGATAAAGGGAAGAAGCTTTTCTTACTGACCAACTCTCCTTATCATTTTGTGGATGGAGGAATGCGCTTTCTGATGGAGGTGCGATTCATTTCATTGAAGCTCTCTCTCTCTCTCTCTCTCTCTCCCCTTTTGAATCTGCCTCAGGACAAATACTGTGTTCCTGCCTCGACAGTCTATTTCATTTACTTAGTTTGTACATGTAACATGATCTCCTAAGAATTAGTACCTTCTTGTTTCTATAATCTAAATCATGATCCCTGTGTTGTTTCTCAGTGGAGCTTATCTTTTTTCATCAGGATACTTTTGGTGTCAAAGACTCGTGGAGGGAGCTTTTCGATGTTGTGATCGCTAAAGCTAATAAACCAGAGTTTTATACATCTGACCATCCTTTCCGGTTCGTTTTATCTCTGATTACTGTTATTTTCGGAAATGGTGAGATCCTGTTTCCTAGCGAAGCTTCTAAGTCTCTCAGAGTCGAAGAACATAAACTTTGTGCTTACTCACTGTAGCTGCTATGATACCGAGAGAGACACTTTGGCATTTACGAAAGTGGATGCGTTTCACCCAAATAAAGTTTACTACCATGGATGCCTTAAATCCTTTCTCCAAATTACAAAGTGGCATGGCCCTGAGGTACTTCTTTCCTTCTCAATCACTCCCTCAATTTTCTCCATTTTTGTTTGCTTTTTTTATGCTCTGAATGTAGTTTAAAAGCTGAATCGCCTTCCCCCCTTTTTAAACTCTTTTGTTGAATTCCAAAGGTGATTTATTTTGGCGATCACTTATTTAGTGACCTTAGAGGACCTTCAAAGTCTGGTTGGCGGACGGCTGCTATAATACATGAACTCGAAGTTAGTCCTCCATTACTAAAGTTTTTCGTGTAGAAATCAGCATTTTCAGCTTTTTTTTTTGTTCTTTAAAGTCTTCAAAATTCCCAGCTTCGGCTGATTTCTACGTGATGTTTTGTTGGTTCAGAGAGAGATACAGATACAAAATGAAGATAGCTACCGGTTTGAACAGGTAGGCCTTGCCCTTCTCCGTTATTTTCTACTGTTTCGTATCAACAATGGAGAGAACTGATATCCCAACAAGGGCATGCCTTAAGATCCTCAATTTAACAACCTCGTACGTGAAACATGTTCTTACATGTTAGTCTGAGGACATGAATCATGAATGTGTTGAATAAATTTCAGGCGAAATTTCATATAATACAAGAGCTGCTTGGTAGATACCATGCGACGGTGGCGAACAGCCATAGAAGCGAGGCATGTCGGGCTCTGCTGGAAGAGCTGAACAGGGAGAGGCAAAAGGCGAGGCAAACGATGAAACAGATGTTCAATACATCGTTTGGGGCGACGTTTTTAACGGACACGGGTCAAGAATCAGCGTTTTCTTATCACATACACAGATATGCGGACGTGTACACGAGCAAACCCGAAAACTTTCTGTTCTACCCTCCTGAGGCTTGGCTTCATGTACCATACGATATCAAGATCATGCCACATCATGTGAAGGTATGCATGCGGCACTTTTACTTTTACATTTACTTTTTACCACAAGCATAGAAACAGAATATATATAATCAAAAAGCTCTGTGCTGCTTTCAGGTTCCATCAAGCTTGTTCAAGACTGAGTAGAAAGATAAGTATTTCGTCAAAAAAGGAGGTTAGTTGTGTCCTGTTTTCCCATCAATTTGATGCGATGACGTCTCTTTTGTTGATCTCTCCGTCCAAATCCCACCACACACACACATTAGGAATTCGAATTCTCCATTCTAAGTTCTGATTCGGTTCGGTCTAGATAGCTACGAATTTGTTCATCTTAAATTCCATTTGAACCGATTTTGCTATTAAACGATCTGAACATATGACACACACACACATAAGAAAAGGAATTCACAGTTTAGGTTAATCCAATAATTTATTTTTAAAATGAGAAAAAAAAACAAGAATGATAGTGTTTGCAATAATACTATAATTACGCACAAGTGTATACGAAATTGGTATTCATTTTTCTCATCGGAGAATGCCGACATTCATTTTTCCCTCGAAAATAAATATATGTAAACCAAAACTTGTAAAAAATACATAACTTTTTATATCATGTAATTCTTTCTAATTTTGATTAGTTTTTCAAATTTTTAGGCTAGTAATTGAACCTGGTCAAGATTAATCTGAAACATGTCCAATTAACCGGTTGGATCATTTTATTTATTATAATAAATTGCGTCGTTAATGATTCGAGACAATTATAGTGGCAAAAGTCTTAGTACCACCAAGTTTGTATTTCTCTTAAACTTTATTATATATCAATAACATTTAAATGCTTATCCTTTGATGACTTCTATCTTCATGAAATTTTTTCCAATCAACATTTCGTTTCGTTGTGTTACAAACATTTTTTTTGCTGGTTACCCAAAAGATCCAACTATATGAAAATTGCATCTGATCATATAACTCAGTCGAGTTTTATCTATATATATAACAAAAAATAGATGAATTTTTTGTTTTTGTAAATATAAATAAATTAGGATTTAATATCTATTTTGATATTAAAGTGTTTTGAAAGTGTGTGAAAACTCTCTTATTATAATGTGTATTTGGTTGGTTCACTTGTGAGAAGCTTCCCACGTCAATACTCTCCCAACCACACTCTCTACCTACTAACTGCTAACTACTTCCTCTCTTTTTTTTTTTTTGCTTTTAATTTCTCGTTCTATTGTATAAATATTTTCCTTATCATATCGCATTTTTTCAATCACTAAATTTACAAAAAAAAAAAAATTATGGCTGACTTTGACTTTGACTTTGTGTGAATTATATCCTCTTCGAGTTTTGTTTCTACAAGTTAACTCGTGAATTCTTCCGCCATTCAAATCGACCCCACAATTATTAAGGTTGTGTATATAAAATTTGATAGCTACTAATCCAACTTAATTACTGTAGACCCGAAATATATTTATTAATATTTAATACATTTAATTTTACAATTTAGTGGGAGAAAAAGAAAATAATCATTACTACCCATTTCAAAATAATTATTATTTTAGATTATTTCACATTTTTTAAAAAAAAAAGAAAAAAAAAGTCACATATAACTTTATTTAATGATAAAAACAATGTTATCATTAATAATTTATTAAAATTTGATAGATATAAAATTGGAATGACAAATATTTTAAAACATAGAAAATAACCTAAAACTATAAATATTTTGAAACGGAATGAGTACTATTTATCCAACTTTGTAGTGGGCTCCTAGCATTTTTGTGATTATTATGAATCTTTCAACGCTGTTTCTTTTTAGAACTTCTGCAACCGATGGATAGATTTACTTCATTTTGAAAAAAAAAAATTGATCTTTAGAAACCCATTTTTGTAAAAAGCTTTATGCACACTCCAAATTCTAACTTGAAAATTTGGATATTATTTTACAAGTTATGTTCTTTTTTTTTTGTGTGGAAATTAGAAGAATGATATTTCATTGTAAGAGAGGCGAGATTGAGACACGCAAAGATGATGCGTTCATATTCTATCGACGAAAAAAAATCCCTTTTCCCAAATATGACAAAATTGTCTATTAGAGTTTTCCCATAAATTAATAATTTCAATTTCAACACGGAAACAAATTCATCACGTAATACTTTAAACAAACAAACGATCAAAACATTGTGTTCCAATTGAGGAATAAAATTACAAAGAATATAACAATAACAAATCATGAATGCTGTTTAACATAACGGCTTGACTCGTGGATAACCGGCCAATAAATTTAGAGAAATAATGATACTATGATTTGAATATTTTAATAAATAATTTTAAAAAAATCGAAAAGGGGTTTATGATGAAACTATAATATAATATAATATAATATAAAGATGAGTAGCTGGGAACGTGCAGCAGAAATAGTTCACCCACCTTTCTTCTATTAATGCTTCCTTCTTCCAACCTTTCTTCTAACTCTCCCACACGCCTTCTATAAAGGCGGAGAAAAAACTCCAAAATTCAATCTGAAAAAGGAAGAAGAAGAAATGGATCGAGAGGAGAAGAAGAAGCCCACTTGCTGTGTTCTTGATGCTTCCACTTACGTGGGTTTCTGGATTCTCAAGCGATTGCTCTCCAGAGGCTACTTCGTTCACGCTGCAATCCGTAAAAACGGTACCTTTCCCCCGAAATTCTTCTCTGGGTATCTCCAGATCCTCCATTTCTCGTGAATTTGAGGGTTTTCGAGAAATGGGTCCTTCTTATTTTCTGGGTTAGATCAATCATTTTGCGTGTTTCTTCTGTTCTCAGGGGAGAGTGAGATAGAGAAGAAGATCAAGGACATGGAGGTTGCAGAAGAGAGATTGGATGTGTACTATGTCGATGTCTTGGATTATCAGAGCATTCTCATGTCTCTCAAAGGCTGTAATGTTGTCTTCTGCTGCTTAGACAATCCTTCTGGTTATGACGTGAGTGTATATATATCGTCGCATTTTTCTCAATCTGACGAAATCTCGATGAAATTCTCTTTGATGATGATATATGAGATACTATAAAGCTTTGATTTTTATGAATTGGGTTTGGATTGATGATCTTTGTGTAGGAAAAGGAGGTGGATTTGGAAGTGAGAGGAGCGATCAATGTAGTGGAGGCGTGTGCGCAGACAGACACCATTGACAAGATTGTGTTCTCTTCCTCCCTCACTGCTGCAATCTGGCGAGACAACATTGGAACTCAGAAAGATGTGGACGAGAGGTGTTGGAGTGACCAAGACTTCTGTCGCAAGAAGAAGGTTCGGTTTTCTCGTCTTTCTTTCTATATATATATATTTACATTATAATGAATTGCATTTCAAAATACACCGTTTTATATATCTCTAGTAACAATATAGAAGATATAACGTATTCCCCCTACAAAATTTTACATTTTGATTGTGTACCCTATTTGGATGAATATATATCCATGATTCTAATCATGAGTGATATCTTTAATATATATGTCTATACACGTAGAGGGTTTGGACAATAAACCGGTCTTGCTGAGATAGTCCAAATTCATTATGATGTTAGGGTTTCATTCATGATCATGTGGTATGAGTGTATATATATATATATATCGTGGGTTTCATTGAATTTTATGGTTTCACCAAATTCTGACGGCTTTTAATGATACGCTGCGATGGGGGGTTTTCATGTTTTCGGGTTCGATTTCGTGAGAAGGAACATGCATGTCGGACGAGAGATTCGACATTTTTAAACATGTTGGACCCACGTTAGAATTACAAGCTGGAATAATAATTTTTTTTGTTAAATAAATTGTAATCATTTTCGGTGCTCTGGGGAAACGGGTCGGCTTCGTTCATCAAGCGTCTGACATATTATTTATAATAATAAATTCATCCAAAAATAACTGCATTTGAAATTACACCAAAAAAGGATCTATTTTTACTTTTAGGTTGGGATTTTTATATATTATATGATACGTTGGGTCTTCATGAAATGCATGGCGACGCATGAAGAGGATATAATAAGAGAATTGAGCTGTATCCGCAACTCATATCTCATGGTTCAACGTACGATTCCTAAATTCACCAGTCACCATTAGGAAACTAAAGATAACCAATTATATTATAAAAATAATATAAAAAAAATAAAGAAATACCTAACATTCAAAATTCAGACATAACACAACAACTACGACACATGTTTACTTGTTTAGGACAGTAACATATGATTAAAAAAATAATCATTTTCTTCAACGCAGTTATGGCACGCGCTTGCAAAGACGTTGTCGGAGAAGGCGGCTTGGGCTCTGGCCATGGACCGTATGGTCAATATGGTCTCCATCAACGCCGGTCTCATCATCGGACCCTACGTCTCTCAACAAAACCCTAGCCCCACCTTGTCTTACCTCAAAGGTACGTACTCACGCATATACGCACATATACACAGTCCCATGCGTTCGTAAACCGTATGTGTACGTATAAGTACAACTGCTTGATGGTATTGCGTCGTG